GTACCATGAAAAGCATCGGCTCACTGGATTCGTATTAAATCCATGCGAATCTATACAAATGGAAACATAAATGCAAGCGTGCATCGCGGTACACACGTGTCACGTACATACGGCAAAGTGTCGCCAAGTATGCACCGTATGCTAAAACACGATTCGCTTTCGAAATAAATCGATAAGATCTCGGTTGAACAGATTTCAAATTAACGTCAATGTACAGCACCGTGCGAGCCACGAACGGAGGTTATTAATGCCCGGTGTGCACCGTCAACGTTAGACCGTTCTAACATTATTATGGCGGTATCATGTAAAGTAGACGTTTCGCGGATGTAATATTAATGTAACCCGAGAAGAAATTGAGAGAGAAGCACGGCAGATGACAAGCTGTTCGTTTTACGTGGAAACGATGTATGTAATTATTTCAAGACTTAAATAGGTCGGAACACGATGGTTGTAATTTCAGCACAGTCAAATGGTTCTCGGCAGAGCTTTCTTTTTTGTACACCTTAATTGCACGTATCATGCCAAACATAATGTGTTAATATAATTGGCTTCCTTTATATAGAGTCACTGTTATACTTTCTAAGTATATTCTTTTTATCATTTCTCAATGATGAGCCACTGAAGCTTATTCGTGGCTCGCAATTAATTTAATTAAACAGCATCGATTCACGATAACCGAAAGGAACTGGTACCATCTACTGATAAGGTTAATCGCTGAAAAAAAAATGTTGTTATCGGATTGGTAATCGGTAAATTAACGACATTGACGGATTCATTAGGAGGAACGGGACTCGAACCGTGCCGTGGCCGCCAAAGATCACTCGATCGAATTTAAAATATTACCGAGCGAGTGGATCAACTTTATATTCAAAGAAACGACAAATACCAAAGGCATAAATGGCGGGAGTGATTATGATTAATAGTCGAGAACGTGATCTGTAAACACGTTCGATATGTTTTCGTTTCGTTAGTCATAGAATTTCCACTTCTGATTTTAGACGATTCTGATTTAGCAATCGGAGTCGTTTGAATGAGGTATTTTCACTTTGTTATCTGGCATTCATACGATAACGCAGTCTGTCATGAATTTTATATTACGAAGCGAGACACGTTAGGGATTGCCTGTCGTTTCATACGATTCGGTGTTTTTATGTAAATTACAGACATCATGTGCAATTACTATCGCTGCTACTTCCTTCGTATCTTTCTCTCTTTCGATCTAGCATTTGTCTCGAATGCTTGTACGGGCTATGGTAGTCTTCAAGGCGAAAAGAGAGAAGGCCAGATAAGGTAATGTCTTGGTAATGGTACATGTGCTTTGGTTCACACGCGGATACGACTGATCTGTACCGATCATTATCTTACATGTCCTGGTATAACACAATTATTTGCACCGGTAGTACAACTGGCCGAGTTTCATGCAGATATCTATTTCGACATAGCAGTATACGAGAGGCTGGGCAAGGAAAAAAGAAACGCAACCGTGTATCTTTATAGCTGTGCGTCAAACCAGCTGCTAAACTTTACAATGTGCCATAACAGAGCCTCTGTGTGCGTCGTTGAAATAATTGTGCCGAATCAGCGAGTCGAACGTTGCCGCCGATTGTGAAAATCCGCGTTGCTTCTGATCGGTGAAATCTAAGGAATGCGAGTCTTTTTTCGACTCGAGGACAAGTTTCCCTTGAGCTATTGTAACACGGTTCTCCCGTCTCGTAGGAGACCTCGCTACGAATTTCTGTATTACAGGCAACGATGCATTTTATTTAATTTTAACCAACGTTATCGAAGCCCGATCTTGGCACCGCCCACGAGAAAGTCATATCTATTCGTTCTCGTGTTTATTCCCTTGATTCTTTATTAATACTAAAACTCGTAACTTTCTACTCATTATCGGGAACGATGTCAATGATTATTATCGCGCCTAAATAGTCGCGATCGCTTAAAATTTTATAGATGCCGTAACGACTTACTTAGCCAGTTTCTTCATGGCATTCTATGGAATCGACGGATTCCGTGACACTTATTAAGCAGAAATTGCACGATATATACCAACGACAACGATCGTTGAATCGTAAGCTTGTCGATACTGAATCCGACTGAATCAAACTGAAACAATCAAACTGTATTCGTTCTATAGACAAAAATGTTCATATATAATATTTTGCAATTTAGTCGTTTAACTGGCAGAAATTGTGCGACTAGCATTCGTGGCACCCCGCGGCCCGCGACCCGCAGTGCGTTTCACACTTGCGGCAGCGGTACACTCTCGCGTCCACCGAGTGGTTAGCTGCTCGCTGTAATTATCCGAGGCAGTTCTTACGCCTCTAGCGTGTGCATGTACACGCTAGTGTATACACGTCGTGCGTTGGAGCAGGTACAAGTTAGAGCAGGTCACTTTCGCTGCCGGCTTGAACTGTTCCAGTCGTCGCGCACGCGTGCTGTTCCATTCATAAACTTATAGAGGCGCGTATATAGCCAGACTGAAGCACATAGGTGTAGGTTCGCAGGTACGCCGATACACGGAAATAAGCTATTCACCGGTTCGCATGTGTAGTTCCTAGTCGATCTATCTCGATGTTCCGCGAAACTTTAATCGCTGAGGCATACGTAAGAGTAAAGGCGAGTGCGCGATGCTCGATGTCGAAGGCGTTAAACTTAATTCTTGCGTATGATTCAACGTCTGGAACAAAGATGCCACGTTATATAACGCAAAATTATGTAAATGACTTTTATGCGTCGTTTGATGTATCTAAGTTTTCATGCTCAGCCACGATTATGCATAGTCGTATCTACAGAAAGAGATATAATAGATGATCTGGTATATTCCGAAGGTTCTGCCTGAGTCGGGCAGCGCGCGTTTATTCGCTAAACGCGAAGTTTCGTAACCTTTCAATTAAGAGCGGAGTGCCACGGCGGTGCAACTATGTTCTTAAAGTGGAAACTGTGAACGCGCGGACCACGTAACCGGCTTGCAAAGTTCCGTATTTTGACGAAAACAGACGGAGGCTACGATGATTTAGGATCGAGATTGATAAACTGATTACGCGTCATAGTAATTTTATCGGTAACACATCGTCAGGATGTTTGTCTCGCGATAACTGACGGCGATCGATCGTTGAATCGATAGATGGATCGACAATAATCTTTGCTTGATCTCGGTGCACGTTTGTTTCATCTTATACGATTACGCTGTACGATGCAACGATATCGAGGAAAGGATAAATAATATTCCATGAAAAATAAATTCTGTCGCGTTACAAACCTGACACGTGTGGAACAATAAGTAATATTAAAGAGACGATAGGATGCAATACTTGGACGTAAAGAGGTAAGATCGTGTAAAGAACACGATTTCATGGAAAAACGCAATTTGTAACGGATCGTATGCAACAGCTTTCAGTTACTTAAGCAGATGTTATTGCATAACTATAATGTTCATAATTTCTTCTAGACTCGTAGTTCATTGACGTTAGGCTAACGCGTAGCTTGGGGTCAAGCACAGTCATAGAACTTTCTTATGGAACGATCACGTTGGAGCTTTTATTACCTACGCTTCATTAGAACTTTAATGACACGTGTAGAATTCAACGAGACTCGTACAGAAATTTACGCAGCAGGAAGTATTCGTATATGTATTATAGATTTCCGTTAGTTTTGTAGTCTTTCTCCTTTATCCTACGTTTGATTTTCTACATTTTTAATACGTATATCGCTAGCCATCGATGTTTTTGTGTTTGACAATTACTTCGAGTTGCCGACACGACGTGTTTTGCATATTACTCGATTGTAGAGAAGCGTACAATACCCGTAGGAGTGCAAGGGCTACCGTTACGAAGCCGCTGTGAAAGTGCACTAACGAAAGTGCGAATTCCAATGCGATTTTTACACACGCTGTATACAAAATGTTTGTACTACATTATGCGTGCCGGATCTGGAATTCACCGTTAACGTAGATCGTTTCTTTGTGGCCACAGCCGCGAGCCAAACCTATGAAATTTCATTTTCCTATCTTACTTAACGACTCGTTGTCCGAAACAATTAGGAAAACGTACAAAGTACCAAGGATGAAAGCAACAGTGTGTATTGAATATAGCATAACGCTAATAGCGTATTACAAATTACATATCAGATACCTTGTGTATCCTCTGTACTTGCTGCAATTACGTTTTTTTTATTTTAAAGTACCATCGTGTTAGGAGAATATTTCCTGAAATTACAAGGTGCTCTAACGATAGCGAAGAAGAGAGGAAAGGCTGGATAAAATGGAAATTCTCTTGCAATATCTCGATATAACGATCTAAAATAATGTGTACACAGGGAACTCGATTAATGCATAAAAATGTTGAGCTGTTGATTAAATTGCAGGATGCTCGATCGAGGTACGGGAGGTTCGCAAGGGGTGCGGTAGCTAGAAATTGTGCATCTCGGTGCACCGGTCAAGTCTATTTCCCCGACTATTAGCTTTAATCGATTATAGCGTGACGGATCGAATGATTTAAATAAAGACCGGGTGCGTCATGGGCCTGGCTTGGTACTTGTCGACCGTGCCCGTCGACATGATGCCGTTGCATTCGCTCGTTATTACGCTCAATCTGTTGCGTTTTTCGTAACGATACTGTAAAACATGATAATTTTTTTCGACGGTTCATTCCGATTAGTTTCATAGGTAAATATATTTTCATACACCGTAGACGGATCAGGTTGGTTTAGGTTGTTTTTACATCTGCAAAGGTTCTAATTACGTAAAAGAAAGAGAATTAACGTTAACTACGATCTAAATAGAACGAAACGTTGTCTTCGCGTTAGATGAATATGGAATAGCACGAACAAGAACATTTAGAATGTAGAACAATTACTTGCTTTTACACAGTTCCAGGATTTTAATTTAGTAGGAACGAGAAACGAGTAGAATTATGATAAAACCTTGCCGTTACTGGTTAAGTTTCCCGCAATCGTGTAGACTAATTTCTAATGCAGATACGTACGTTTGTATGTTGCAGGTGACGTACGCCGAACGGGCCAGTATTCATGCCAGTATGCCAATCAGATGCCAGTAGAGAGCCAGTATCTGTATCTGTCGCCACCGATAGCCAATTAATAAGTTACTTAGATAGTTAAATTAATAGACGATACATCACACGCTGTTTTATATAATCGTTGTTAGAAGACGTCGCTTAATAGGCGTAACAAATATACACGTATTTATATTATATATACATACACACACGTACATATACGCATATATAAATATAATATAATCGAAGAAGCAATAAGTGTCGAATCGCGGGCTATTATTTTCACATCGTACTCTTTTTTTCTACCACTACGATTTTCTCCGCTCGTTCATTGGTTTGCTTTTTTAAATTATCGGTGACCGCGTGTTCTCTTTACGAGAGTATATTCGTAAGATTGGACAGAGTGCAATCGAGTTGTGATTATCGAAGTGGACTGACCGATCGATTTCTCGGCTGTGAAGTGAATTAATACCCCAGGAAAACGATTGAAACGGAGAAAGGAAGCGAACAGCGTACACAGGCGAGCACGGTGGCTGGAAACGGTGACTTACATCGAGAGCGCCAACCTGCAATCAAGGTTCATGGTTTTCATGGTGAGTCATTGTATCTATTTCTACTAATTTTAATACGGTTACGGTGTTTTATCGCCGTTTCTTGCCTTTCCTCGGTATAACGCGGCTGTACAATCACGACACACCGAACGCTCCGAAAAAATTTCGTACCCTTTTTTTAACGAGCTGCCGCAACACGAGGAAATTTGTTGCATGAAATTTCACGCAGAAATTTCGTGACATATTTACACATGATTTCTCCTCGTTTTTATCCTTTCCCCCTTTTTTTCCCTCGTACTTCTGTCGGTCGCTCAATTACGAATTGGCAAGCGGACCCGTTATAAGCAACGCGATTTTATGCAAAATTTCCGCCGTGACGAGATGCCGCAACTTCCATGAAATATATAGCACGTGTCACATGCAATTTGCATAATGCAACATCGACACTTCTTCGATGTACCGAAACGTTATCTTTATACACGTCGTATCGTTTCATATCACGGATCATTGGATTATCGAGCGAGCGGCTTAAACGGAACATCCGATAATGGTGAATTCGAGGAACTGAAACTGTCTCGTAAATATCGATAAATAAGGACTACCGAAAGTATTACAAACTTCCGTCTCCTGCAATTTATTGCCATTCTCCTTTATCGCGAGTTCAGGGTAATATTCAATGGGCATCGCTGTAATCATTTCGATAAAAGCTGGTTTATATCGAAATCTACAGGCTCGATATCCCGTTGGTACGTACAAGGAAAGTTTCTCGAATTTCTACCCTCCGTTACCTCTTGGCAATCGACAAATTTTTTTCCTCATCCGGAATAGCTGTCTATCTTCCTTTTTTCTCGCTCTTCCGTTTCGTTAACATTCGCGTTTCCGACCCGTGTATTTTTTTCCCAGCTTGCTTTATTCAACTCGGATACGTTACTCGAGTTACCGATTTAATTGGTTTATCTGAAACTTTATTATTCGTCTCTAAATTCTTCCGGCTGATCGGCTGGGAATATCTTAATGCAGACGGCCACAGTGTGTTACGCAAATTAGTTAGCGTAGCAGAGCGTAACTTTCAAATTATATAGCATAACGTGGCTCGCTAATTAAGAAAAGCGTCGAATAAGCGGCTGCATCGGGCATTCGATACGTTCGATTTCTCCCGGTTATGCCACTCGGCTTTGTTACTCTTGCTGGGATATTTCGAGGGCGAAAGAGGAGACGTAGAGGCAAAACCAAAGAGAAGAAAGAAGGATACAAAGAGAGATGCACCGCCAGGTTACGGGTCAGCCGCGGTGGGGCATTAATAATCGTTTACAATCTTTAAAGCAGGGTGTGGCGAGTGCGTTAACCCTCCTTTTCTTCCTCTTCTTCCTTCTGTTCCTCCTACTCCGGCTTCCTCTCTGCTTTTTCTTACTCTCCTTGCTTCTTCGTGATCGTCCGTGGCGCACCGGATGGACAAAACACGAGGAAAAAGTCCAGGCTTGCCTTCGTAAACCAGTTGGACGTATATATCGTGAAAAAAGGATAATCAATGGCGAAAGGGTACACACTCGATCTGTAGTCGTTTTATCGTCATGACGATTTCGCTGGCAGCGCAAGGGGCAGAATTTATTTGTGGATCATTGAAAATCGTTTGCGTGGCTGCTGAACTACAAATCGATTCCAGCGACTTCTTCGATCGCGAATTAATCGTTTTTTAACGTATCTTAGAGAATACGCAGTATCATAGATTATCGAACATTTTACGATATAGCTATAGGTTTCGATATGTTGAATTTTGCGACAGATTAAAACGTGGTCCTTTATCCGAAGTTCGAACGTTTAGATAGCTCGATGGTTCATTTCGGAAGTAGGGGGCGACAATTAAAACTGAGAAATTAACATCGCCGGGAAACTCGATAAACCGGTATGCCGGACAGTCGTTTGATAAATTTCGCCGATTGCACCTCGACGCCTTCGAATAAACAATTTTTAGTGCAAAGTAAGTAAGTTTCTTACGAATATTTATTTAATCGTGCAGGACCGCCCGACCTGGTCAATTTACGCGGAAGAATTTCGTCGCGCACCTGCGACGTTATTCTTCGGTGGAGCTTCCGTTCGCACGCGTTTCATCCTTCTCGTCGATGCGTTTCGGCAATTTTACGAACGCGAACCTCGTCGTTTCATCGTCGATGATTATCGTTGGCGCGTTAGAAAGCGTGCGGTCGCGTCCTGTATAATATAGGACCTTAATGAGGCTCGGTGTTTAAGACCTCGAGGAAAAAATGAATTGCGCGACAGAAGATACGAATCGAAAAACGAATCGATGTCGCCGCGGTGGTTGAAAGAAATTCTTGCCGTCATTTCCCCTTGCGGTGCGTTATTAACGACGACGATAAATATGCGCGTTCTTTTCACAAGTGCGACGAATCGGCGATCGCGTCCACCGAGTCCTGGCGAGAAAAAAATTCCCCTCGAAGGAACGGGTTCCTCGAGCACGTGTGTCCCTATCGGTTGTCCCGTGAAAATCGGTCGTCGGCCCCTTGGTCACCTTCTCCTCTACGAACGGCATCGCCATTAACCACTACCACAGCCACCTGCAGCGACGAATCAGCATATTTAGCGTCGAGCCGAATTTAATAGAGGCCATCGCTCGGGCGTGCATCACGCGGTTGCATTCGCGAGACGCATCAATAATATTCGCCCCGTGATGCATAGCATTATGTATGCATACTAACCTCTCGCGAATCCTTTTGGAATTCAATTCGTGTTTCTGCCGTTTGTTCGTTTACGTTGCCGAGATACGTTTACGGTTTAAACGTTGAAACGCATTTGCATCGTGACGCGCATTACTCGACACTTAGTACGGTTATCGTTCGTCGTGACCTTCCTCGATATTCCGATGCGATTCAACACAATTTCCTTGTCGTACAAATAACACCGCATAGTATCATCGAAGGTCAAATACAATTTTCATAGCTCTATTGTCCTACGCGTGTACTTTTCGAACCTATCGGAATCGTGCGGAAACATCGCCGAATTTAATTATTCACGCGGTCGAGTATCGACGACGTTCCGAATGCTAAAATTACACGACCGTCAATGAAGTTTGAGTAATACAACGTTAAATACTATTTGTATCCGTTGTACGTGGTATGTGTTTAAAAAACGTGCTGTAAATATTGACGTTACTCGGGCTGTACGTCGGCGAGGCAATTAATAAAAATATTTTTCGTCACAAATGAACGTTTGTCGGCTATATATCACGGCCAACCAGTGGGATACTCAACAACCGTGAATACCTACGGAATAATAAATTCCGCTAAAGGGTGGAGACGGCTTAACGTTCGTAATACGCATTGCTCGCGGATATATTTTTCTCTGGGAGACATTAAAAGCCAAACGAAACCCGTACGGCACCGCCGACCTGGGTACAGTACTCTATGGACGTGAAAAATGAACGAACATCGTGCCACGATTCATCACCCGCGTACCGCTCGCAGTCCTTGTGAAAGTGATGCATGCTTCTTGTCAAAGACGATACGTTGAATACCATTCGTTCAGCGGCTCAAATATACCCGGTAATGCACCTAATTTCCATTCGTCTTATCGTTCGATACCGCGTTACAAAATCTCTTATCCGTCTAAGATCGGTGAATCCCAAGTTTCCGTTGAAAGAGAATATGGGTGTGTACCTGGAATTCTTCGAGATATTTAATAGCCCGAATAAAGATCGAAAACGCGGTCTTAATGGAGAATCTTAATCGTTCGTTTAGAACATTTTTATATTCGCGTTTAATCCTCACCGTCTACCCGTCGTAAGTTCGTTTTTCGCTGCTGTTTATTGACGACCCTATTAAACGTAGGAAATTGGAAGTATTAAAAAAGTAACGTGAGCTTCACGATCACAATCTCGCATCGAGATTCCAATTTTAGGCGCGACTGGGTCGTACACATTCTTTTGACACGTTTTTACCAGGTCAGCTTAATAAAAACCTTTAGTTCTTCGTATCTAATTTCATACATTGACCAAGAAACGCTGCAAGAATAAAAGAGAAAAGCAGCGTTCCTATCTCTTTTTCCTCACCATTAAAAAAAATCGATAAGTTCGATTTTTTAATATCACGCTTTAAGCTGTCCGGAACACGTTCGAAATGTAAACCTTAGGCCTTTATACGGCGGTCGTTATTTCAACGCGCAATGTGCTTACACCGTCCGCGTATACAGCTTCGCCTTATTTTTATTGCCGCGACGCAGCAATTTTTGCCTTTTCTCTTATCTGCCGCGCGCCAAGCACACGATACAGGAAGATCGTTCGTGGTGTTTTGAACGTGACGCCTACGCGATATGCGTGCAGGCGTGCACCGGTACCGTGCCGGTTAATTGTTCCGATGGATTTAAAGTCGGCGTCCGAAATAAATGAATGTCGCTTGCCAAGGTGCGCGGTGCGGTACGATGCAACGAGGTATATATGGTCGTCACGGATTATATTTCTTCGGGACGTACTTATACGTGAGTGAAACTTCGGTACAGTTTTCACATTTTAATCATTCTCATCTACAGAGCAGCCGTTCCAAATCTGAATTTAACTCGAACGCGAGATTATTATGGGACAATCTTCACTTAATAGTTTCCGTTGCGATCTAAAATGCGCGCGATTGCGAAATACTAATTGGCTCCTCCATCGGTTGTATGTTGCTCAAACTATCGAGAAGCGAATATATTTAAATAGTCGAGAATTTGAAATTCAAGTCGAGCAACGCAAAGCTAGTTTCATCGAGTTGATCTCGACGCGGTTTCAACTTTGTTTAGATACGGCTTGTACATAAGCTATCTTATTATCATGCGACCTTGACTCGTTCTTTTTCTTTTGCTTAAGTATATCAGAAGCGTTAGAAACATGGAGCGATCAGACGCTTGGAAATTTTAATAACTTCTTTGTTTATCTTTGCCATTTGATCGAATTCCTTTGACGAAATCACGAAGATTTATTATATCTTCACGTGCAACGAATATCAAAGGCTTCCGTCGCAATGATTACTCGATTGTCTCGATGAATCGATGCT